AGAAAAAGAAAAACCACAGAACTCACTTTCTCCGCGTAATTTGGGCGAATCACTAGGTGGCAGTGCCGTGCGGCGCGCACTGGCCGCACTGCAGACCGTCGTCACGATTTTTGAGTCGACGATAGATATTTCCCACTATGTATGCTTATACAGTAAATGGATATGTTTTTGCGGTTCTGTACTATGTTTTGTAATTGGGGGGGGGGGGGCAAGCAAAAGCTGCAAAACGAAGAAGAATCGCGCCCCACAACCATTTTGTTGCGCGACTGACACATACCGGCCGGCGGGCGTACACTACGCTGCTGAGTGAAATTAACTGTGGTCTCACCAGCCGGTATTTGTGCGGCCGCCGGCCGGCGAGTGTCTGAGTAATCTCTAAAGCTGCCAAGGCCTGCTTCAGCTGCAGGTGCCGCGCAGAATCAACGTTGATCCTGTGCGCCTTTTGCAGCTGAACGAAGCTGAACAAAATATTCGCTTACTCTGGCACCTACCTAACCGACAACGCTTACAGGGTGTCTCGATGTGAGTGTCCAAGTCTCGGATCACTGCGATCGCTCGCTCAGGCCTTGCGCCGCTTTTGTAGGCGTATCCTCAGGGTATTTTCCCACGCTTGGGACAGAAACTAAAGGCTAGCAAGCGTAGAAAAATGCTCAAACATCGCATTCGCGAACGCAGTGCAAAGTCAAGCGAGGCGGCCGCACTATAGGCGTCTGCGCAGGGCGCGGAGAGTGCGCAAGGTGTGCATTGCGCGTCACTCCTCTTTCCTCGTGCACTCTCGCCTGTTTTTCTCTGCGCTTCTTCCAGTCGTGAACTGCTGCCTTCAATGTACACAACAGCGTTGCTTTCCGTGCGCAGTGCGGACGGCCTATAGACCTTAGCCGCTGGAGCTTTGACACCTACAGAAAATGGCCTTTGCTCCTCCTCCGCACGCTATACTATAGTCACTTGCTTTCTCTGATAATATCAGCAACAATCGATCAAAATGCAATCCCAATTTATCTGTATGAAGAAGTCAGAATTCGTTGTGGGCAATGTTAAGGGAACGGCCATAGGCTGGCTGCAACGGTTGCCGAGGTTGCCGGCGTTGCCGAGGTTGCTGGGGTTACCGAAATTGCCGTCGTTGCCGAGATTGCCGGCATTGCTGAGGTTGCCGGCGTAGCCGGTCGTGACCTCATGATAGCCTCCACGTTTCACGCACTCTCTAAGGGCCGCATGCACTAACATCCCCGCAGGGAGGAGGTCGCAGCTCAAAAGAAAGCTTAATATTTCGGAACTCCAGATACCTGGATTTCACGTTTTGTACCTATCCGTAAGTATTCCTACTACCCTTCACTATGAACATTTTGAAGAGGAGCGAGAAGCTGTACGAACCACACTTTCCAGCTTTAGTATGATCCCTGATGATCCGCGGCGCTTTTCTTTGAAGTCATTTTTCTTTCTCCAAAGTTAACGAAAAGTTTCCAAAGTTGTGCAGATTATCTAACCCAACACTGCTTAGCATGTTGCTGATAAGAACAAGTGAAGTATCGGAGTCATGAAATTTTCGATGACCGAAATGGTCGAAATTTGAGGTTTACCGAAAAATTCGCGTTTTCAAAAACTCATTTGTTCTCATCAGCAACATGCTTAGCACTGTTGTTTTAGTGTTCAGTACAACTTTGGAAGGTTTTCGTTAACTGTGGAGAAAGAAAAATGACTCTAAAGAAAAGCGCCGGGGATCATCAGGGATCATACAAAAGCTGGAAAATGCGGTTCGTACAGCTTCTCGCTCCTGTTCAACATGTTCATAGTGAAGGGTAGTAGGAATACTTACGGATAGGTACACAATGTGAAATCAGGTATCTGGAGTTTCGAAATATAAAGCTTTCTTCTAAGCTGCAATCCCCCTCCCCAGCGGGGAGGTTAGTGCATGCGGCCCTAAGCTATCTGAACCCAGCAAAGCCGGCAACCTCGGCAACCATGACCGGTAACCTATGGCCATTCCCTAAAGGACCAGTCGCGAAGAGCATAGGGTTCGAGTTTGTATAGGGACTTCAAGCTACAACCGAAGAGCGAACCATCAAGTAGCATCATTGTCCCTCAAGTTGATTGGGAACACAGTTTCCTCTGGTGAAGGTACGGTGGACGCATTTTATGCAACCCAGCCTAGATCTCAAAATGCGAGTGTTTACAATGAAACGCTGCGATATATTAACAATGTTTTTGCTTCAAGTAACGAAGGCGCATGCCAATAATGAGTGGGATGCAATCGATTGCATTTCTCTGGAACTTTTACTGGAATTCGTCAGCTTTCCGAGGATTGTTGACAGATACGAAATAGAATTAGGATCCAGATCTGATCGTTTAAGGTTTAGAGTGCAAATTCTACTCAAGCATAGGGACGGAGGAACATCGGCAACATCGCAAACTTGACAAAGTTTGTTATGCTATCAAAGTTCACATTTATCGAAGAAGAGTTGCTGCCTCTCCTCAAAGAGGTTTTCATTCCCATTTTTACCCTGTTGGAACAACGCGGCGCATGCTATAATATCAGTATTCTTACGAATAACACAACGAAATGAAGGAGGCTACCAGAAAATGTGGATAAAACTCCAACAAAAACAATGTTCAACTCCCCAATGGAGTACAGTGGCAATTTTTTACTTCTTCCGTGTTGATATGTATTATAATCAAAGCAGTATTGCGAACACCTTCCACATATTGATTGAACCTTGAAAATAGGTCCTTGTAAATTGTTTAAGTTTTTCATATTCATATAAAATCCTTACGCAACTATGCGGATGAAGTGTATCCTCCGAAAGTGTGATTGTGTTTTTGTTATAATGATATAGTAAGTGAATAAAGTTCTGCAATCATTCCCGTTTCAACGAACGCATATATGCGCGGCAGCGTTTCACTTCCCAGTAAATGAACGAACGCAACCCAGCGACGAATAACGCGAGCCTTCCAGGGCCAAACCAACTGCTGAAGTAGCATAACGCTAATCTTGATGATACGAATTCGAAAGCATCTCAAGCTTGACAGTGGTTTATCACAGTGGTCAGCACACAATGGTGTTTGCGTTTCTTGGTTAAAAAAATCCGAGCCATCGTTTTTTTGAGTTGTCGCTTCGAAATAATGCCGCAGACACCTTCCAGGTTCACGGTCGTATGGGATGTTCCAGCAGATAGAGAAACCAGCAGATGTTATTCTTTATACTTGATGATGTCGTCAGCCAAAGAAACACGGCATTTCCGCCTCCACAGTCGTCTAGCTCAATCGAGTTTATCGAGATCTCATTTCAGACGAATAAAGAGTACTTCTGTCTCAATGCAAGCTCTCAGAAAGAAGTGACAGTACAGATATGTCAAGAAATTGAGCTATTCCAAAAATCGTGGCAACTGCCGTACGCGGTTGCACACCGTGCCCTCTCTCACGTCAACGCAACACGAGACAGTTTGGTAGATCTCATTCACCGTGCGCGTATCTATGCCTTTGTCTCCTCGTCTATGGTTCGCAGACTTCAAATTGCATTAGTTCTTGTAATCATTCTTGGAAGCATTTGTTGCGTTGTCCCAGCGCATATCGTTGCCTAGTTGCCTGGAATCATTGTGCGTAATCAGCAGTGTCATTCGCTACCTGATGCTTGGTAGGCTATGTTTGACATAATGCAGGGAAGGAGGAAAAGATGGGTCATTTAGAAACTTCAAGAAGACCTCCACAGCAGCAAATCTCACTTCCTAAGTTTTCTAGAAAAGTGGAGACGTCTCCTCTCTTAATCCGAGTAGAACCTCTCCCCCCCCCCTTCCCGCCTCTCCCGGTTGGCATCGTGTACTGTTCACCCTACCCAAGGCCTCCCAAGTTCATATTCATTATAGTAAATCGGGATAGATGCTAGTTTTGTGGAACAACATAGGTCAGCTGCGTTTGTTGATAAATGCAATTGTCAGGTATAGGATTATAGGATTCACATGCACTGTAGGCATAGGAATAATATGACCATGGGCACCACTGCTTGGTATACACATCTCATGCAACGCTTGGTGGAGTAGATGACATGTACCGACAGTAGTTGACTTTAATGTTTAGAAAGTCAGACGAGAGCGAACATGATTGAAGTGGAGTACGGCCAATTTTTCTTTGCGACTCAGAACCTCAAATTCTATCCTGTAGTCTATGTCCACCTTATGCTTTCGTAACGTTGTCAGTTGCTTACATCTCCATCAGCGCGTCTTTTCTTCTGGAGCTCCTTCATTCTGACTGATGTCTTGAAAGCTATACTGAAGACTCTGATATCTTTTAGATATGACTTTTTTCGCAACTTGTTATGGATGAGAGCTTTACGTACCGGACTCTGTCCCTCAGGGGCGTCCAAACTTTAAGCGTAAATGGCACCGGCATTGATCGGGTTCAAGCCCGTGAAGTTTGAAAGTGTAGCGCAAGCGCGTCAACGTTTGTTTTCTCCGTTCCATCTAGAAGAAAAAGCGAACGACGAAAATCATTTTCGTTCTACATTCTACTTTTGTGAACGAGGTTAACATAATTAAAAGCAGGTCTGCGCAAGTGACTTCTTCGCGACCGTGGCGAGTGTCATCTTGCCGGTCAGCTTCCAGCTGAGAATGCTGCTCGAGTGCGAATTATTTTCAGTAAGGGCTAAACATTCAAAATCATGGTTTAAATGAGATAAGCAGTGGCTGTATCCTACCAACATACCTCGTAAATATACTTGAGCATACCCGCATTCACTTATGCTCAATCAGCCTTATCTCAGGATATGTAAAGCGTACTTGAGCTACCAACTCGTATTCACGAACGTATCTTAAGCTAAAAACACTATTCCATTGTGATTCCTCGACTTCCGATGTGCCGCACTAGGTAGCGCTTTGCCAGTTTCAGTAGACATTGTTTCTTTTTTCGCTAATACACATTGTTACGGGACCCGCAATAATCACAGGAATCGCAAGAATTGCAGGAATCACAGGAAAAGTGTGACCGGTTCCTAAGCCAATGCAAATTCACCGGCTCAAGATACATATTCAAGGTAAATTTTGCCTTGCTTCATGTGGATGAAATTTACCTAAACTTTGTACCTTGAGCCAGTGCATCTGCATTGCCTCAAGGTATGTTCGTAGCTCCTCAATGCATGTACGTATGCTCGTGAAATTACGTGTTAATGGCTCAAGGTAGTATGCTCTCAAGGTATATTTTACATCAGGGTATGTCGAATACGGCCACAGAGCGACCTCTTTCACAAGGGTGTTTTAGCTATAGTCAATCGGGGAGACATTTGACAGATTTTTCAGTGAAATAGTAATGGGGAAGGAACCAGGCAGGTCTAACCGTTTCCAATCCCTTTTTGTCTGAATCACAATAGAATGTAGCTTTTTTTTGAAACACTTCTTTTGTTTTGGAATCTTTTTCGAGGACCGACCCCCATCAGCGCCTTTAGTTTGCAAGTCAAAAATAGCTTTTGCCAGAGCTCTAGGCAGTCTCTAGGCCCGTGTCAGTTTCAGACCTGCAGTTATGCTTTGCATCACGAAGTCTCTGGTACAGTGGGATCCCCTGCTCTCACAACAAACTGAATGTGAGTTTGTTTGCATTTTCTTTTGATGAGCTCATGAGCTGGAACTAGAACGAGAGTGTATTGCATTTACGATAACTTCTTCCACAATGAGCTTCCAAGTAGTGGCAAAATTTCTTTTTGTAAAAAGGCAAGGATTTGTAGCATCATACGCGTAATATTCGGTGTAATGTTTCATGCTCTGGATTAGGTCTGAGCTATGACTGGCTTGTGGTACAACTACTTTCGAGATTTGAGATTTGTTGTGCTGTACGGGTGTCTATGATTGTGTACTGAAGTGCAAGAACTTGCTGGAGAAGTCAGATGACGCGGTGGTAATAGTGTGCGCACTCCAAATGAAATTCCTTCTGTTCGGGAATAGTACCCTGATTTCACGAGTACAAGAGTTACCTTTTTCGATTTTTCAAGCAAGCCGCTCAACCACCTCGCTGCGTTTTGGAAAACGAAAATTATCGCGCTATATTTTCAGGCAACATGCAGATGTATAGGGTCCTTTGGTCACGAAATCCTTTGACATGTTTGAGCTCGTCGATTTTAGAAACCCCCCCCCCGCGTCCTGTAGTCGTGAAATTAGGGTGAATATAAGGCATAGTCATTAGTGCTCGTTCTTTTTGATCACTTTTTGATCATTACAGTGTAAGAAATTGGCATTTCATTTCGCTGTATTTGCAGAAATTATCCTTCATTTGAAGTATCATGCCGATTAATAATAATACAAGAACATTCACAGGTCTTTAGGATTCAGTCTCACATAATCGACCGTATCTGATGAAAACATTCCGTCATTAGATAGGAAGAGTTCCGAGATAACACAAATCCGTTGGATGGTTGTACACTTTCGATGAACACGTAATTGTTTTACTTGATCTTACTATATTTTAGTCGCGAAGAGGAAGCTTATACCCTATCTGTGACGTTAATGGTCATTTGGCTTGTAAGTAGCTTTTTGAAAGGCAAAATTAGAACAAAAAGGCGAATTTACATCGAACCAAGCAAGGTGCATTTCTGGAAGCATAGAGCCGTACGTCCTAGCTATATACCCAAATAGAATTTTGTAGGTAACATGAAAATAACTTTTTGATGAAACAGTTTAAGTTTTTGAATAAGGGATTGATGAAATTTTCTAGTGATCCGCTCTTCAGTTGTCCCTGCCATCAGCGTTTCCAAGCAAAACTACTTCCAGAAATAGTTCATGGTCGCGCCGAAAAGTTTGACGGGAGCTTGTGATTTCTTTTTAGTAACTCATCTTGGTCTTATGATGATCCCATTCTCTTATTTGTTATCTGTAAGTCTTACTAGTGTAAATTCTCTGGAATTTCTGCTTCTAGATCTGCTACCTTATGAATACTTGACGAGTGTACGTGAATGCGGACTGTGGTTTACAGGGGTTATTAACATCTGTGCATCCTGTATCTATGCCTAGATGCTAGTGTTTGCCTACAGTAATGATCGTCTTGGTATCTAGCAGATAAGAGTACCAACGTGTTCGTGAAAGCCTTTTTCAATGGGAATCTCTCAAACTGCTACAGATGTGCTACTTGGCGTACTGTAGATGTAAATAGTCCAACTATACACACACACTCAAATTTTCACAGTACTAGCCGCCGTTGTGTAGGTACAATACACTATAAAATTCTATCCGTCTGGGTAGCGAGTCACAGGCAAACATGAGTCGTTTTTGAAATCTACTTGTAAAATTGTTGTGAATTCGGAAAGTTTTTGCTACATCCTCCAACCTAGAAATAGAAATACTGAATATTGCTTTCACGGAACAAATTTTCTGCTTCCAGTTTCGAGCTTGTAGTCGCTAACTGCATTGCAAATCTGTTCAACCGTTTGTTTTAGCGTTTGATTTCATTTCTGGGATGAACTTTCATGATTTGTTACCCCCTCTTATTGTTATGAGAATGGTGCGACGATTACCCAGGTTCACTACATTTACATTCCAGTAGTGAGCCTTCTTTAGACTGGTCTTTTTTCAAATTTAGAGGTGTAGCTGTCGAACTTGTTAAGCATGCTACAATCTTGCTGTGCTTGAGGCTTGTATAGCATTTGCTTCATCATGTAAAAAAGACTTCATTTTTCTTTCACGGCTGATCTTCAGTCCCTTAACTCTTTCTAATTCTATGATTATTAAAGGGTTTAGTTATGGTATTGGCAATTTTTATGGTTGCTTCCTGCGCGAAACGTGTAATTTATTCTAAGACTAGGACACATCTAAACAAGCTCGAAATTGTTCTTTTCTGTTTCAAGTAATTAACAGTCCTAGAAGAGGCATATCACGAAATTTGTCAAACAAACGATCAAACTTGTTTTGACAATGTGTGCAATGCGTACTCGTCTCTTCTACTCTTAGAATGAATGGATAAGAAACACTGTGGAAATCTAGGAGATATTTTTCATTTAGCTTTGCTTGAGTATTGCGTAAGTATGGGTAGTTAACTCATGATCCGAGCTTTAATCAACAGTCAGCCTTGACCACCCCACGCTCACTTCAGATCTATGCTCTGCATCCACAGCGGCCTCGAGATATCCATAATTGCGAGTTCATAAGATAGAGCCGAATTTCGCTTTCTCTTTAGCTTCTTTCAAAAAATAAGCATACATTTCCGTTATCATTGAAGACAGCCTTCGGTTTGAATGCTCATCATCACAGAATGGTCCTTGAATTTAGTTGTACTAATATGGATGAGGGAGGCGTAGTCATTATTTGGAAACATGAATTCATTATTGCTCGACTTGAAGTAACTATTAGGTTTTCTCATAATTTGAGAAAATTTTTTTATACATACTCTTTCACGGTTGCCCCGATGTCTGTTAATGTCCGGTTGCGGTTTTTTTTCCTCGAAAGCGTTGATCGAAGTTTTGATGTGCGATTTTTCTACAGTAAGCTACATTTGTTGTTTCAGTTTCTTGGTTGATGAGCAGGGTCGGTGTGATCCCTGCTCAAAAGATTGCCAGTACTTCTTACCGTTCTAGTCAAGTTTTATTGTTAGCGTGTTTTATGCGAGTGGATGCCGCCAATTGCACAATCAGGTAAGTTCATGGCTACTGTCCTTGATTAAGCGCTTGTCGCATCCGATATCGGTATGGGTTTTCTTTGTCAAAACGGTCCTTTAGTGAAGTAGTAGACGGTGCTTGGCCAATAAGACAAAATTGCCAATCATTTAAACGTGATGAGTCAGCATGTTCCTGTCTTATCTTGGAAGAGTTTCGTTATAAATATACAATAGTATTTGCAGTAAAATTTAGTAGTGTCAAGCACTGATTATGAAGCATCGTCTGTAACGAGCACCTCATTGCTCAGTATCTTCAGGTGTTCTCGATCTGCAAGCCTACCTGGATTCTTGTAGCGAGGATGTCCGAACTCTTTTTGAAAAAGAATGTTCCGTCATGCTTGAGTGCAGGTTAGTACAAGCTATTCTTTGCGCAAAAGTAGATGTTTTGATTGTATGTTTTAGAGCGTGCAAAAGTATATTTCGGAGTTTTGTCAATTTCTTCTCCCATAAGCGGGGGTTTTGCAGAGTGGAATGTCAGGAGAGCAATGGTTCGTTAGATTATTTTTTCTCTTATCCAGTGATTCTGTATCCACTTTCTTCGGAAATTTCTATTAATTGTGCATGGCAAGAAGCATTCATCTCATAGCATAATCAGTGGTTATGTTTATTTTCGAGTTTGGACTTCTTTCTTCTTGTTGTTTAATTTCCAACTTATCAAATGTATCTGAAAAGGCTGAGCAAGCTACTCGTTGAAACAGAGTCGTTCAATTTGTCTGGCATTATCCAAGACTGCGATGCTCAATTTGCCTAACTTTAGAGTAGCAGCCCTACATTTGAAATTATTCTTATAGCAGGTTCAGAATTTATGAAATGCTTTCCATGCTTGGACCTGCATACATAATTAACAAGATAACCCTATAGCCGAACCCACAAGTAACAATATAACCCTATTTGGTCACCTCAGAGTCATTTCATTCAACTTTGTTGCTTCCACCTATTTAATAAATTGCGTGCTTTATTGCAAAAACATAGCACCAAGTTTAGAAAGCTCACTGCCTTCATCTCCAAAGAAGGTGGGACTTCGACGCACGAATATAGCGAAGCATGTTTTTAAGAAAATTGGAGTCACTGAGATAACAGGCGACGATGTAAGTTCTGCTCTGTTGTGTCCCTGAACTTTTGTTCCCAAACTTTATCCTCATTGCCTTTCCATTATCCGTTACTCTTATCGTTATTTATATTGAGTTCTAAAAGATAGCACTTTTCAGCCTTCCGCTTCAGCGTTCGTCCACACTCTTCCAAGTCATCGCAGGGAGGTGGTAGCTGTAGTAGATCGTGATGGCACGCAACGGGTTTGTTCCAAAAATTATCTACTTTGTCCGGTGAATATCGAACAACATTGTCATTTGTAGATCTGTTTGCCTACCATGATGTACGACGATTCCGATTTACCCCCGGATAAAGTTTTACTCCTACGACCTCAGGTCAATGCGGCCAGGTAACCAGCTACTATGCATATTTTTCTCTACATTTTTTTCTGCTTTTCCGCCCTTGTGTTTTGTCTGAAGTTATTCTCTTCTTTTTTGATTCTAGTGAATGTGGTAATTTTATAATAACTCTATACGTGATTCATAAAGTGAAGCAGTGGACTCTTCACATAGTATCATATCAATATCTTTAGCTCTCCATAACTCGTGTCTAATCTACTTCAAGTTTGATTCGTTTAGATATCGCAGTATGAATCTGCGGATGCGTTTGAAAAATGACGTTACTAGACCGGTATCAGAAGAAGAGGTCAGTTTGACATCAGGGCATTACTGATTCAAAGTTATTGAGAATTTGTTGAATGCAAAACTTCGTAGGGTTTGCTTTAGTAGAATGTCAGAGTAGGCCCTTGTCAGAGTAGTCCTATATTAGTAAAATCTCTTCTCATTGTCAGTGAAGGAAGCTGTATGTCGATGTCCATCATTGTTTGATACGAGACTTCTGACTTGTTTAGGTTGAATGCATAGAACGAATCCTGAAATATTTCCCGAACATGGTGGAGCCGACTGCTTGTCGCTGTTTATGCACATCTTGCGCGGACATAGCGCCATTCGGAAGCACCTCGGCATTGGCATATCATATGTCCATGAAACATACCGTTCGTGAGGAAGGTTCGAATGCAATACCTTGCCTTCTTTGTCCGAAAAAGTTCATAACGTAAGTGTGAGAGATATTGCTCAGTCTCAAGAGAAGTGTCTTACTTATAGCTCTGCTCCTTTCATTGCACACGTGAAAAGAAAGCATGCTAGGGTAAAGCTAGAGCATCTCGCTTTTCGCAAGAAAGAAGCAGGCGAAGCTTTAGCCAAGAAGAAGGGAAAACGTATAAGAGGGGTTTGTTCTCCTCCTTTTGGGCTGTACAATGTATTCAAACAGTTAGTGAGTATCTTGATTTACAGAAGACCGGTGAGCAACCTCCTAACATCTGCATACGCTCGCGCAGTCTTAGTCCAGATCCAGAAGAAACTTGCGAAACTAACGATGTAAGTTACCTGTCTGCTTAACGAACTGTCTGAAGTCCTCACCTATCCTTTTGTACCTTAGGTAAGTGAAGAGAACGGTTTCGATGGCCCGCCAGTTTTGGAACCGGAGGACACAAAAAATCAGGAAGAAGTTGCTAGCATTCGTGATTCTCCTGCGCCGGAGATCTCCTGTAGTGATAGCTCGCCTTCTCAACCACTGCATCAGTTGTCGCCACATATCGACGATAAAGAAGAGAGAAGCAATACTGTGTGTTCCAATGCATCTGGTGATGAAGAAAAGCCACTGAGTGCTTGTGCAATGCGGGTGAGGCTACAGTCTTTTCTTTAGAGACCCGTCGTATTTCCAGAAAGAGCCGAAACGCCCTGTTTCATCTGGCGTGGAACTTTTGGTAGATCTGACATTTTTTTGATGTGTAGACGACAGATGAAGCAAAAAGATTCGTTTGCGCAATTGACACACATACTCTAGCGCCAAAATTTGCGCGCGTAAGGGGGCGTTCCGGCTCTTTCTGTCGCTTTGGGCTTTCTTCGGCGATGTCGGGTCCTCTAGAGTAGCTTTCGCGAAGTAGTTGCTGCATAGTGGCTGTAGCTGATAGCGCTTCGCCTGCCCATTGCTCAAACCCGATATTGAAGGCAGCGTCCAGGCAAATCTGGACCTATGGGGGCTTTACGTGGAAATAATTTTGGGGCCCTAACCAAGGCACGGCCCAAGCGACAGCGCAAATGACTCACTAACGGCTGAGACTATGCGCCTCCAGACTGGGTCCCAAGATCGTATTATCGGATGACTTGCATTGTGCCAAAATCACTGTCCACATGAGATCCCCATATGTCCAGATTTGCCTGGACGCTGCTTTTGAGTTCTAGTGGATTTAATGACCAGCTACTGGAAGTAAATCTGTAGAGGAGCAGTACGAAGTGCTCATTGTAAAAATGCGGTGTTCTCTACTATATGCAGCTTTGCGCACTAAATACGTTGTTTCTTGTTTATAACGTCGATTCGTTGACCGCACGGACTGGACATCTGCTGTGCACGCACCGCGAGGTAAAATGCTTGTTTCGGTACAATTTCGCCATAGTACAAGTCGTACTAGCGCAACAATTGAACTGCTGCGCGTGGTCCGCAACGTTTGCGCAGTCATGCGGTTAACGAATCGACAATAATACTGCTGTTTTTTTCTGCTTAACTGTCGTCGTACCTTCTTATTACAGAAACGACGTAAGCGAAAAATCCCTGCACGTTATAGAGATGATGAGTTTGAGACCTATGTTAAAGAAAGCGTAAGTGTTCAAACTCTTCAGCAGGGTTTCCTACATTATTTTGTCTGTTTCAGGATCACTCCAGAAGTTCCTCGAAATTGCGTCGCAGCTCTCCGCTTAGTTCGTCTTCACACACCCCTGAGAAAAGCTCCAGTTCCACGGTGGCACGTTCTGATACAGTGGCAAGTGATGTTAGTGAAGTACGTTGGCTTGCTTTTGGTTTAAAGGAAAAATTTTGTCTTTTTTGTTAACATCCTAAGTACATTCGGTAGCACTTCAAAATTTTCCCGTGTTCTCGAATCACAGATGATTTCTCTGCATTCTCGATTTCCCATCTACGATGCACAATTCTCTTAGGTAAAGCGCAGCACAGCAGAGGATCTTAGGGTGTAACCCTTGATATGTTCGGGCTGCTCGCGTCTAGAAAAAATAGAGTCGACTTGCAAAATAAGGGTACTAGCTCTGCACAGCCATCGCTCACATGGTCTTATACGCGAATATAGCTTACTGTACGACTAGTGCTTAGAGCGCTACCGACAGGTCCTCCTTCTGTCTGCCCTGTAATCGACGCGTTCGAAATCAACAGTTTATTCTTGCGTAGGTATTATGCGCCATGATCACCCTGTATTATATCAAAAGATATCCGGGATCACAGTCAAGAACTTTTCTGAACATAAGTTTTTTTACGCTGCTTCTCATTGGAGATCGGCCCAATCCTTGTCCTTTTTAGGTTGTGCGACGTCTGGTCACTACCGTTTCCGATCTCTTATCCGAAGAAGTGAGATTTCATTGACATTTCTCTTCATGCGTTTTGCCTGCATACTGTTTGGAAAGCATCAAACTTGGATATCTTCAATTTAGCAGCCAGCTGTTCCACATCCTACGACGGTTCGTACGAAGTCATCGAGATTGCGTAAGAGACCGGACTGGATGGATAATGAAGATTTTGTCATTGTTGATGAGAGGAAGGTTGGTCTGGATAGTTTATTACTCAAACTATTTGTTCCATTGTTTTCCCTTGCTCATCTAAAAAAAATTAAGAATCGCCGTGAAAGCACAACAGATCATCCAGTCTTGCGCGTTTATAACTCTGCAGAAACGGTTCCTTCCCATTCGTCGTGAGTTTTTGTTCTATTTTGCTGAATATTTTTTCTTCAGGTGTAGCTCCTGCTGCTAAGGCTGGGTTCATACTGATCCGTAAGTTCCGGAAAAACTGTTTCGGAACTTTCGGATCAGTATGAACCTAGAGTGTAAGAGCTCACTGGGTTCTAGCTGCTCAAGCACTTAATTTTTTTCACTAAGGGACTCTATATAAAGTATCCTACACTTCCAGCGTACAGATCTGACATCTATCTTTATTCAGATATGTTTGGTGCTCTGAGCACATCTGTGGTCTCTTATAATGTTTTTGAAAACTAGACCCATCATAGTGTAGACGACAAATCGAAACACCATTTATTCTCAGGTGCTTTAGGACAAAGTCGGTGGGAAGTGAAAGCAATGAAAGCGGTACGTCTACTCCTACATTACCAAAGGACACCCACAACACTTCGTATGTTTTTTGCCTTCTAGTTTTCAGTTTCGTGTGCTTCAGTATTACTTGTGGGCGAGTTTAGCGTAATTTTCATAGCAAGGAGAAAAAAAATTGTTTAGGGTCAAAGTGACTCGACAGCGACGATCACCAGCCAATTTATTGGACTCTGTTGGGAACCTTTCGAATCGACGCAAGCAGAATTTGAATGCAATAAATGACGTAGAGGATAATGTAACGGTTGGTTACTTCACTTATGCAGAGCTCTTGAGTTTCCTGTCAAAATTCGTATCTGTAACTAGAAGTGTGCTTACTTTTTAGAACAGTCGAAGTTTCGCTTACATATTGAGCTATATGCATCGCGTTCAGATTCTCTTCAAAAACGGAAAGCCAAGCAAGGTGGACGATCTCGCTATGGTTCCCGTCTATCTGTCTAGTGCACAGAAGCAATTGTTTTTTTCTTCTCTCAAACAAATCCATCCTGATGAACCAGACGGGAAGCACATTTGTTCACAATGCAACGAAGTGGTGCCGAACCTCAAGGTTGGCGTTGGATGAAATATGAAATTATCTCTTTTTTTCTGACTTTATGCAAAATTCGGTTGTGTAATGGCATAATTGTCTCTAAAATATATCTTTTTTTCAAAGTAGACAAATTGCTGCTAGCTTTGATGTTTACAGGAGGGACGTCGACATATGGTAACACATATACGAGTAATGCGACTTCGTTGTTCTTTATGCGGAGCGGGTTCATTCTTTTGTACGGATTTGCGGGTGCATTTAATGGAAGGTTACTGCGAAAAATTACATCGTGCACCAGAAGGAGTAGTTGACTTGGACCGCCGTCCATGTATGACCAAAGAGCAGGTCTGTTGTTAGATGATCCTTTTCGAATATTTTGAGTCAACGTTTTATTTTGCTTGGTGATGTTTGTCATGTAGAGAGTAATAAAATTTCTACGTGCAAGTTAGATACCTCGCCTTTATTTATTGTAACAATGTTTTACACTAATTTCCGTGGAAGTTAAGAATTTTGCTTTGTTATTTTGACCAATTTTTTATTCGCTACGTTTAGTTGTGACCAATTCCTATCCTTCAAAGCGAAGAATTCAACTAGATATTGACTAATCTTTTCTTTCATTCTGTCCCCTATGCCCCTTCTTTCTTCCTGTGATCTGCGCATGGTATCTAGCTGAGTCTTGGATAGTGCTTTTGATTGATGTCTGATTTGGGGGGTTTTGTGTTCAGTCTGTTTCTTTCAGGCCGATTCTCTTTCCGAGTTGGTCGATCCGATCAATCCTGGAAGAGTGATGTACACCAGTGGTCAGGTTAGGTATAGAAATTGGATTGTTCCTAATCAATTTGTGATGTAATGCAGATTGTTTCTGCAAAAAGCCGCATCCCGTATTATCCTGACCCTGTGATAGAGGAGCGAATACTTGGACCTGGTAGAGTTCTCTGCCGCTCAACTCCAACACGCACGAAGAGGACTTAAATTGCGTGAGATTGTGAAAAAGATTATATGAAATAAAATTTTTAAACTGCTTTGCTAGAATGGTGCATGAAAGACATATTGCCACTTTTTCAAATGATATCACTGCGTTGCATCCAATACGACACAGAGTAGTCAGGCAGTCGTCACGAGCCTAATTTTGTGGCTTTTGTTAGCTGAAAATTTTTTTTTAAATTTGTACCTAGATTTGTAGTGATGCCGAAACTTGAATCGTTTTTTGGCCGTTAGCAATCCAAACGCTAATCATCTGTTTTGTGTTAACCCGTGGAAGTAATGCCTTTCAAGCAGATTTTCATGGGCGGTTCTTCGGTTGCATTTTGCAAATGAAATTCGACATAAGAAGTGGAAGTGTGATAGGGTAATTCACTTGAGTGAGTACTTCTTGTGACTTGACTTTCGCGGAGGGTGCATGCTCTGACAGATAAATGATTTTTCAAGAAATTACGTGTTCTATGTCTTCACCATCGTGTTGATGCTAACAGCTTGCCGCTCATGGGATTTTGCATAGTGACGTGAAAAGTGTGACACTTGGAATTATAAATTTGTGGGAAAAGAAAAGCGGTTCTTATTACCAGAATGATGTCACTGAGCTTATCTTGTGATCAGGGCCTGGCACCAGGTGGCACGGGGCAAGCTGGACATCGTTTTTGGGACAAAAAGCAATGGGGATATCGTTTTTTGTCGACAAATTGCGACGTTTCGTTTTTTGGGGGTTTTTTAGGTTTAGGGTTTAGGGTCAAGGGGGACTCCGTGAAACTTAGCGAAAATCAAGGGGGACTTCGTTTTGAAAATTCCCTGGTGCCATCCGAGCCCTGCTTGGGATACATCACTCGTACGTTCAAAGTTTATCTCAAGCGAGAATGAATAGGTCTGTATTTATTAGGTGTTTCATGGCACCAAATAATTTTAAGATTAAGGCCGTTCATCATTCAGGAACATTTCAAGAGGCGATGATATTTGGTAATTACCCTTTTTAGTTGACATGCCAAAAGAAATTGTTGTTTGGAACTTTGAAACCCTGTGCCCTGTCTTCTGCTCTTTTTTTCTGAAATGAAGACTAGATAGATAGTTTGAATGGACGAGAAATGCAAATGGGAGGTTAGGGGGGGGGGGGGGGAAGAGAATTCAGAAGGCATGGGCGAAGCTGTACTATCTCGGCCACTCAAAAGTTCAGATGGAATTTTTTGTCTTACGCTGCACCTGAATTGAACGTCGACTTTTTTTTGACAAGCATAGCCTTTATTGAAAACTTTTTGCTTTCATTCATATGGACATTCAATCAACTCCACTTTCCCATTTACACGAAAACTTCGTGTCAATTGTTTGCACTTTCGAGATCAGTCTGGACTTCGCCCATTTCCACTTTTGACTGGTGACTCACTGTTGAAATGGATTCCTTACTTCTCTCAGTTCATAGTTGAAACTGTCTTCAGCGGTTCATAGACTAATTGGGTAAATCAAAGTAAAATCAAGTTATAGTGCACCTAATTGAAGCAAATAATTAAATGCTGTTTGATTTCACCCGCGCTTCAATGAAGAGGTTGTGGAAGTGTTGTCATGGTGACGAACAAAGCTGTTCGTGTGCGTATTGCATTCTGATTCGCACCTCACTCATCTTCGTGTGGGCCTTCATAACTCCTTATTCTATCGATCATTACCATTAATTTTCTATGTTTAACAACTACTCAAGTGGTACGAGCTTTTCATGGTTCCATAGTCCACATTTTCATTACACAGCAATTATCAGACATAGTTTACGCGACGCAAGCACTCAACGGAAGAGAGTAAGTGAACTTGGGCGGATGTTATGGTCAGTGAACACGTACTCTCTTTCACGCCCTGCAAAGTAAAAGTGCTCGATTTGCACGGTTGCTGATTTTTATGGCTTTTATGCTTACTTCGAAGTCCAATTAAGATTTTCAATACCTTTGAATAAAATATGTGAAGCTGCATACAAAAGCTGTATACATACAAGAACTTTCTGTAAAACATCTACTGAATAGGGGTTACTAGATTACCATCCTATATCAGAAGCTTTCGGTTCCATATAATCTTCTATGCTCTTAGATGAAGTCTGACGATTTTTATTGAGCTTATAGAAGCTCTACCTTATTTTATTTTGCGCATAACATTTACGGTTTTGTTGTTCTTTCCTTCTAATAACTGGAATTCTTGCTTATAAATTTGGCTACTCATAGATTAACGTACCTTTTTTCTGGTTTGACTCTATGACAAGAGCAGGTGTATCAAAAGAAAGTTTAAATAAATGGGAATCGACGAGTTTTGAAAATTCTTTTCATTCGATTTTAGGGGATTTCTTTTGATAAAAATGACTTGTCGTGCTGGCTATTTGTTGACTGTCAAATGATCATTTAGTTTTTACTTTCCTTGAAATACAGGATCTAAACGCGGAAAAGTTATCTTTCAGATAGTTTGCACAGATCTGTAATTTGCGTAGTCCATCAGGTTTATTGTAAAATGGCAGTAAAACGGTGCAAATTTTGTGAGATACTTAGCACAATTATCCAAAACAATTTGCCAAATTTACATACCAGAATGCATGTTTCTTTTTGGGAAACAATTTGATAATATTTCTCTTCTTGAAATAAAAAAAATTACTACTGTGTTGTTCGCATAGTTTGTTGTTTTTTAAGCTGGCCTTTTTTCCCAGTCGTTTCCTATTTTGAATTTGATCAAATATCAGAGTGAGACGTTGCTCCACTTGTAAGATTTCCTTGTACTGATAGCATTTATGTTTTTTCAAATTGTTTTTCATGAACAAAAATAAAGTTTAGGCGTTGGAATACAACGAACTAGGCCGAGGCCACGGCCACTTTCTTCTACTGCCTTATTCGTAATATGTGAACTTTATCCGAAGGTACATATGATGACATATGGGTCTAAAAATTACCAGTATGGTAGATCTCCGCGTCAGGAGATGTTGGACGACATGAGGGAGGAGCTGTTGAAGGCTAAAAAGGTAAAAAGTGGCATAATTACAGTCTAATAGATTTGCTGCTTAATGTGGTGTGCTTGCGGAGCCGAGATCCTGCGTTAAAATTTGCGCATCTACAAATAGCCATCTCAGCAATGTCGGCATTTTTGCGAGCGCAAGCGGGCGGCATTACAGACGTGGCTATTTGTTTACGCGCCAATTTTGCCGCGCAATCTTGTCACCGCAAGCACACTATATTGGATGTAAAATCTGCTTGATTTATCTGAGCCTCGAAGAAGGCAGCAGGATGTGATGTAAAACTTTTTTCTTGTGAGACAATTCTTAGAAAGGGTTTTGCAAACTGTGTCATGAAAAAATTTGGAAGCACTTGGGGAACATATTAGGTTGGCCCGAAACTTCTGTCGCACCATTTTCAAAATCATAACTTCTGATATTTCCAAATGTGACTGCATTTATTTTTATATGAAAGAATAAGTCATGCTCTCTATAACGACATTTTAGCTGCTAACTATTGACCATATATTGCACAGATAGGAGCGATAGAAGAAAATTAGTCAAAATTCGAATTTTCTGTGTAGGGTCATAAAAAATCTGAAACTTGGAATAAAAATGTGAGCAGTTGGTATCATAGGTTCTATTATCTGCTCTTTCTAACTGTGCAAACCTTGGGCTGGTTGAACATTTCTATGAAAAGTTATGATTTACGAGAAAAGAGAGAGAAATGCCAAAATAAATCAAAATTGCCTTTTTGTATTGCTTGCTCGGAAATAGAATTTTTGATAGAGGCGTTCAATCAGCACAAACTTTGCACAGTTAAAAAAGAGCAGGTAATAAAACCTTTAGTACCAGCTGCTCAGATTTTTATTGCACGTTTCAGGTTTCTTATGACCCTACACAGAAAATTCGAATTTTGACTAATTTTCTTCAACCGCTCCTACCTATGCAACGGGTGATGGTTAGCAAGCAGCTAAGACGTCATTATAAAGAACATGACTGCTTACTCTTTCACTAGAAATAAAAAGCAGTTTAATCGTTTGGAGAAGTCAGAAATTATGAATTTTCAAATTTGGTGCGGAAGAACTTTCGGGACGACCTAATAATTTATCATTCAGGCCAATGCACAGCTCGCACTGGACAATCGCCTTCTAAATACTAAATTACAACGCCTGTCAAGAGAAATTAGAATATATACTGGTGCGAAACTTCCTAAGGTAAATTTCAACTTATCTAGAGCAGATTTTGTAATCATCAAACAATGCACCCTTTTCTTGTTAGCCCAAAATTTATTTTTGCAAGCGAAAGACAGTTTAGATCGAACATACAGAACGTCATCAGCAGTCTGGTTCCAATTCCACAGAACGTCATCAGCAATCTGGTTCTCGTTCTACAGAACGTCATCAGCAACCTAGCTCCAACTCAAGTTCTCAGTCGAATAGCAGATCGTCGCAAAAGAAAAGAAGCCGTTCGAAACCAAGGTTTGTAAAGTTCATTTGCATAAATGTTGTATGTCAATTCTACGCTGCGGCTAAAGAGTACGTTTAAGAAGTTTTTTTCCCTTGAATTAGAGATGTAAATAAACCTTTTGTTAGGCTGCGATCTAGCGAAAGCAAAGCAGAGCCAATTGTGCAAATCATTACACGTACAGAAACGAGTCCGGGAGGTAAAACTGCTGAGGAAAACGAGCTTTCGAATCAAATACGAGTTCTCCATGAGAAGAACAAGAAGAAGCTGAAGTGAGTCAAATCTCAATGAGATAATTTTTTATTTTCAGATCATATAGTGGTGAAGAGAACGATAAAAGGTCACTAAATGCGTGTTTTACTCTAGGTCCAAGTGATTGGTAACTGTGTAGCTTTTTTTGAAGTCTATTGCGCTTCTTCTTTTCAAGCACACCAACTATCGCCTTTGTTATAGCTTGAAGGCAGCCTCCAGGCAAAATCTATTCTATCCCTAGTAGTACCTAACCCAATAGCGAGCCCCAGGAGAGGGGCATCTGCGTTGATCTGGCTCTCCAAATTGGCCTCTGAAAAGAGAAAATGGTTTTGAAAAACGCGAAAGTTCTATCAAGCCACGCCCACCCTGTTAAACCCCACCCATCTGTACGTCAAAGGTTGTCTGCGCCTGCAGGGCAGGGTCCCAGGAATCGAAGTTGTCAGGGTTTTGTACATTTTGCAAATCCTATTTTTTATCAGGGCCACCGAAAGAACCCAGATTACAGAAACATGGAAGCGGAAGATATGTGTGCATACTCTTTTTGAGAGTGACAAAACATAATTGGTTTCTATCAATTATTCATTGAGTAACACATAATTGATTGTAAATGGATATTGACAATGAGATGTTATGTATCTATATAATGTTGTATTATGTAGCAACGCAATCTGAGATGAGTTTTACAGCATAGTTGACTGTTTTTACTTGAAAATTTTACTGCTTATAATCACTGATCCAATGTTCTTTTCTAATTTCCAGTTTTTCAGGGTCGCCAAAGCTTATGCAGAACAAAATCGTAAGCTAAAAGAGAGACTAAAACAAATGAGAGAAGAATTTCACGAGCTACAAAAAATACCAAAAATTGAAAGCGGATCTGGCACTCCCTCAATCCAGTTGAATGGTTTGCAATTCGCCTTTGACCTTCTTTGAAATTTATGTATTGAGATGTTGAGGTCTGGAAAGTCACCTAGTCGATCTGGTATCGAAGCTTGAATCCACACGATTTCAAGAAAATGGAGGAGTTGATACTGGTGATGATGAAGAAACTCCTGATGATAATCCCAGTGAGCCAGGCCAGGATGATGAGAGGGATACAAACAGGTTCGTTTATACCACAAAAACTAAAGGATTCCACTTATGCCATGAAATAGGTTTTGATCCATAAGGCTTTTGGTACAAATGATAGGCAAAAAACGTATCAAAATTTTTTTTGTGTAGATCAATCTTGTGTAATTGCTCTTACAGCGATGATCAACGTCAAAACGGAACCGCAAACAAGTCAGCAAATGTGGAAGATCAGGTACATATGTGAAATAATATACTTTCTATCGTAAAGACCATGTTTCGGTACTTTTCTTGGTGAGCCCGATCATTTTTTCTTCGTAGGTTAACGGGTAATGCAGGGTGATAACAAAGTTGACAAACTTAGCACTAGTTTATAAATGATGCTTCTACAATTTTTCAATATCTTGAAGGTCCGAAATTTTCTGATAACTCCAAGCTCACGTAGCAGTCATCAGTTAAAAATTTGAACCCCAATGGCAAGTATGGCTTCAAATTGTTAGGACTAGAAGGTTTCAGATAGTAACAAGATCACGTGAACCGATTTGTTGCCAAAGCTTATTGACTCCTTACAGCAGCTTCCCGGCAAAATTTCGGTGTCCAGATTTTTACCTATTCGGAGCTTTCGGCATGAGGAACCTATATCTGGGATTTGCGCATGAAAATGACGAAAAGGGCTTTTTTTGAAGCTTGCTAGGTTCTCATCCAGTGGACATACGCCGGAGGTCTTCTGCGCCCCTCCCCCGCTCAGGACCCGCCCACTTTCACGTATCCACTGAATGTGGACCTGGAAAGCTTCGGAAAAAGCTCATTTTCGCCATTTTCATGTGCTGAGAAGCTCAGATACGGATTCCTCATGGCGAGAAGGGTCTGAAAAAGTGAAAAACTGGAAAACGACATTTTACCGGGACACTGCCTTTGACTGAGAAAATTTTGCCGGCACAAGAGAAATTACCTTAGTACCTGTCCCATATAGACGATTTTTTGCGTCACGCTTACTTACTGACGGAATTTGATGCTCCCTGTCTTGCTTGTTTTGCAGTGTTGTTTAGGTACCACCTGATGTGCTTCTTTACGTCATTAGCGAGCTGGCTACGGCACACTATGAACGTCGACGAGTTCTGGAAATGTTGGACGCGGGCTGACGTCTCGATCATATCACATATCGCACAAATGAATGCTTTGTTTTGAGCCTCTATAATGCTAGGATTGGTCGATAAAGCATCAACTTGATAGAACATGTACGCTGTACTTTGACAGCTAATACAATACGCTCCGGTGGTGACAACCTCACACGCAAACAGATTCCATGTGTGAATGTAACAACTTTGGCTGCGATTGCGAGTAAAAAATAGCCATGAAGCACGCGTTACAATGTTTACGCGCAAACATTGTTGGTATTGCAATAATACTTTATTCGGACAAATCAACAAGCTAGCAATCATTCTGTCACTAACTCAAGCAATTGTACACGTCATAGCAGCGCGAACAAGAATCCTCACAAATTCCAAAAAGTAAACTATAAAAAAACGCGTTGAAGCACATTGTGAACTTATATAGGTAGGTAGGCGCCAGATGCTTTAGCAGGACGCGGCGCAGTTACTGTCATTTGATGTCACGTTGTAGAAAAATCAAGTCGGCGTGCGTAGTTTCTCTATACAAAAATTCTTCACTGGTAAGGCTTTTCTATCATTCTCTCATTCTGCGGGGCTGTTTTATCATCCCTTTACTACTGTAATTGCGAACATCGCAGACGCCACTTCGATTTCCGTTCAGTATGACGCCAAATTACACCAGCTTGCGCCGGGTCCTGCTGAAACAGGCAAACGGTTAGTCAGCGCTTACCTCAGAGGTCCGAGATTCTCGAGTTTTTTAGTCACAGAATAAACGATGTGTTAATTTTTTTTAAAGCAAAAAACACATGAGACTCAGATGTTTGTGACGAGGATTTAGTTCTGACTCGAACTAAGGAGTTGTTCGACGGGCTCATTATGATTTTCGCGCTGTTTTTGCATGTTGCTGTCTTATCGTGGAGTTACGGTAGGCTTACAATATAAAAACAATATTGCAGATCTGGCCAAAAACCTTGTCCGGGATTATCTGCAAATAATTATAATTCCCAGTGAAACTCCATAATCCAGTAATATGAAAAGCTCATGTTTTCCGTTTTGTCCCCTCCTTTGGACTTTTGTTGCTAGACTCTCTTCAGGACTCCTCAGTAAGGAAAGAGGGTCTAGATTAATTTCGATGGAAGTCTTTTGAGAAAAATTTCAAGAACTAATCTTATATTTGAGAGACTTCTTTTGTAGCGATCTTCTTTATGTGGTGAGAAAAGAGGACTAGTTCAACATGATTGTTACTGCAGTGAGTGAGTACCATGTTCGTAATTATCAAATAACCCCCCTGCGCAAAGTCACAGCCGGAAAATACGAAAAACCACCGCATCTGCACCTAACTGATTTTCTGCACGTTAAACAACAGGCGCGCAAACCTCACGTATACGGAGCATCATTTCATGCAGCCTCACCTTCATCGGCGCCACCTCAGTTCGGTGGTAAATTCTACGGTCCGAAAGGAAACTAAATGCGTATTCAGCTGTTGGTAAACCCAGCAGCGGTGTGAAGGTGGGGTGGTCATGTCGCTAAGAAGTCCGATATCCGTGAAGTAGAGTGACTTTACTATAACCGATCTATCGAATATCAATAATGAAACAAGAAGATATTCTTTATCCTCGATTTTGCTTTTCAAGGTGGTTTTACCTTACTTCCAACTTTCCGAAAAATTATGTAGATAAGCTCGCGAGCTGCAGTACCTACATAAAGTAAGTTTCAAGCCGAGTAAGGCGGAAACTGGGCTGTCGCGTCCGCCTTGCAACGGTTCGCGCCGTTCCGCGCTTCACCGTTCCGCAGCTGCACTGTATCATACAGTATACATACATAGACCTAAGGTCTGCGTCTCTTTATTCCCCTCGGTTTTTGCTTGCCAAAATGTCATCGCTGTGTGCTCAAGCTTCCAGCGATGCGGACGCGATGCTCCACATGAAATGTTTTGCCTTCTCCGTGTTGAAACATATTTTACGCGTTTTCTAAAATTATGTGGCAGCCGATGACACGCATAGCCCAAGTGTTAAAAGTCCATGTTCAGAAGTTTCTGTTAACTTCCATCTTGTTGAAAAATTCAATTTATTCTTTAAAGGCATGGTCTTTGAGCTGTAAAATGACATGGGTAAGTGTCAATGCACGACGAGGCAAATCATACTACCATAGAATTGTTGCCGTACATTTCGTCACACTGAACTAAGAACTGGATTGTTCGGGAAAGGGGGATGAACAGGTAAGCGAATTTGTAAGGAGGAACATTTCCCAGAAAGAATTATTCATTCATGCCATCACACTTTATCAACCGCATGGAGTGGTCGTCACAGTGAAGCACGCGACGCGCGGTAGAATGCTTGTCCAAATTCGAACCGCCTCAAGAAATCGCGCTCCAGCGACATTTCAAATGTAGGTCGCGGCCGCCGCAATACGTCCATTCCTGCGGTCGAAGAAGTACCAATACTAGACGATTATGATATTCGTCACCTAAGATGAGGTACTGTGTGACAAAGATGGATCGTCAGTGATGAAAAGGTGAAACTGTGGCTCTGATAGTGAAACATGATACATTCGCTATCGAGCTTTATGAGCTCCAATTTCTTACAGAACTTTCGAGTGAAAATCGAAATCGAAACGTCCGGCTTCTATTAATTTGCAAGAATTCACGCATCACTCAATGTCTTGGTGTGCACAATCTATAGGGGTGCACTTGGTTTGATCATTATCATCATTCAACTAGGTTTGATTTTATTTTGGGTCAATGGCTTTCGCCTATCTTTAGGCATTAATCTAGAGCTGATGGCTTGATTTACAGTACGAAGCGAAACTGTTACTATGGGATCACGTTAGGAACTTGAAGAGGGTTCCAAGGCAAAGTTGTAAGGAGGGCATTCCCCAAAAAGAAGGCTGTCACATCTGCCTCGGAGAGAAATCAAACAAGTCAAACTCTCTTGCACTGGCATTTCGCTAATTTTCAAATATAAAATTTGCACTTTCCAGACAAGCTCCTGTCACAAGTTAAGTTATGCCCTTAAAAACAGGAAAAAACTCGCGAAAAATTGTGAAGCGAAACTAGCATGCGACTCAAATTAGCTTAACAATTTTCCAGATTTTTTGAGATTTTTTTTGAACAAACGTCTTATTTTAGAACGGCGTTGGCTTAGAAAGTTTCTATCATAAGCCTGCATTAACCTCCATGAGAAGAACAAAGAACAAGAAGAAGCTGAAGTGAGTCAAATCTCAATGAGATAAATTTTTATTTTCGGATCATATAGTGGCGAAGAGAACAAAAAAAAAACACGCTCGCTTGATAAAGTGTAATTTTGGTCCAAGTTATTGGTAACTGTGCAGGTTTTTTGTAAAGTCTGTTGCGCTTCTGCTTTTCAGATACACCAAATAGCGCGTTTGTTATAGATTAAAGGCAGCCTCTAGGCAAAATCTATTCTATCCCTAGTAGTAACTAACCCAATAGTGAGCCCCCGGAGAGGGGCATCTGCGTGATCCGGTTCTCCAATGTGGCTTTTGAATGGAAAATATGGTCCTGGAAAATGCGGGAGTGCTATCAAGCTACGCTCACCCTATCGAGCTCCGCCCTGAGACTAAAAGGGCCTTCAGGACAGGATCCCAGAAATTGGGGGTATTTTGCGATTTCGCACATTTTGCAGATCCTATCAATAATCAGGGCCTCGGAAAGGCCCCAGAAAAGGCCCATGACAAAATGATTGAAGCGGAAGATTTGTGTAAGTACTGCATTTAAGTGTGACAGAACATAATTGGTATCTAATAAGTATTCATTAATTAACGCATAATTGATTGTAAATGGATAACAACAATTGGACTGTTGTATTGTGTTGCTATACAATCTGAAATCAAGAACTTAGTTAACATTTCACTTGGAAATTTTATGCCTATCATTATTGATCCAATGTTCTTTTCTAATTTGCATTTTTCAGAGTAGCGAAAGCTAATGCAAAACGAAATCTTAAGCTAAAAGAGAGACTAAAACAAATGAGTTAGGAATTTCACGAGCTACAAGAATACCAAAAATGAAAGCGGATTTGGCACTTCATCAAACCGTTGAATGTTTTGCATTTCGCAGTTGATTTCCTATCCTCGAAGTTAATGACATATTGAGATATAGAGGTCTGGAAAGTCACCTATCGGTCTGGTGTTGAAGATTGAATCTACACGATTTCAAGAAAGTGGGGGAGTTCATACTGATGATGATGAAGAGACTCCTGATAACAACTCCAGTGAGCCAGGCCTACAAACAGGTTGGTCTAAATCACAAAAACTAAAGGATTCTACTCATGCCATGAAAGAGATATTGATTCATAGATGCTTTTGATACAAAGGATAAGCAGAAAACTATCAATAATATTTTTTGTGAGAAAATCGTATGTAATTGTTCTTACAGCGATTATCACACCAAAATGGAACCGTAAATAAATCAGCAAATGTGGAAGATCAGGTACCATATGTGAAAAAATATACTTTCTATCATAAGGACCATGTTGTAATTTTCTTGGTAAGCCGGATCATTTTTTCTTCCTAGGTTAACGGGTAAGGCAGGGTAATAACAAGGTTAGCAAATTTACCACTGGTTTATAAATGATGCTTCTACAATTCTTCGATGTCTCGAAGGTCCGAAATTTTCTGATAACTCCAAGCTCACATACAGTCATCAGTTATAAATCTGAACTTGTTGTATCTTCTGAAATGTCCTTGGAAATAATCTCAATGGTAAGGAAGACTTTAAATTATTAGAACTAGAAGGTTTCAAATAATACCAAGATTTTGTGAATTCTTGATTTGTTGTCAAAGCTTATTGACTCCTTAAAGGCAGCGTCCCGGCAAAATTTCGCTGTCCACTTTTTCACCTACTCGGAGCCTTCTCGGCATGAGGAACCCATATCTGAAATTTGTCCATGAGAATGACGAAAAGAGCTTTTTTTGAAGGTTTCTAGGTTCGCATCCAGTGAAAATACCCGGAGTCTGCGCTCCTCCTTACTCGCTGCGGATCCCGCCCACTTTCACGTGCCCCTGACTGCGGACATGGAAAGCTTCGGAAGAAGCTCAGTTTTGCCATTTGCATGTGCTGAGAAGCCCAGATACGGATTCC